TATATATATATATATATATTCCACATCAACCGAATCCCCTAAAACCTCCTGTACTAGGATCACCTCTAGGGCTCTGCCCCAACCCAAACTCAACCTTGAAACCTACCATCTCAATCCCCTGCTTGTGTGTGTGTGGGCCACGCTATATTCCCTGTAGTGCACGCAACTAAGGACCCCAGACCCTAAACCCCAAAGGACGCAAACCAACCCTGAGCCTTAAACCCTACCGGCCAGCACAATCCCTGCAAACACCCAAAGGACCTGCTCTACGAAGCCTGGACACGATGACCACCCAGGCCTTGCAACCGTTGGACAGGGATGATTCCTCTACGGAGTCGGCTGGAATGATCGAGGTGCTCGCAAGGCATTTCTTCGGTCTTGAGACCGACGACAGCGTGGGAGTGGATGCAGCACAGGAGGTGGAGATGAGCAAGCTCATCCAATGGGCTGGCCAGGTTCTTGGCACGAGCCTGGAGCATGGTGTGGTGCACCTGACAGGTGCCGTTGCTGCTGCAGTAGCAGCAGGTGTGCCTGGGAATCCTTACGAGTGTGAGGCTGTGCTTCGCGATGTGGTTCCGGCCGTCAATGAGGCGATGGCCCAGCTTCGAGAGTTCAAGGTAGCACAGGCCAAGACACAAGAAGTGCGCAACTCTGTGTGCAAGCAGGGGGAAACGATGATCCTCAAGCTCAAGCAGAAGCTGGAGGAAGGTGAGATTTCGGAGGATGACCTGCACCAACGGTGCAAGTCTGTGACTGTGTGGCAGTCAAAGAAAGACTCCGACCTGGATGTGAGCATGGGAGACCTGGAGGCAAAGGTCTGTGAATGTGTGGAAGCCACATCGACCTTGATTCTGGATGCTTGGCACAAACTTGCAAGACCTGGGCTGCAGCCCATTCCGGAGCAGCAGGACCAGGAGGAACAGGACGAGGTCATGATGGATGTGGATGACGATGAGGCTTGCATGCTGAGAGAGATGGAGGAGGCCCTTGAAGCTGATTGCCAGAGCAAGGAGCCTTGTATTCCTTCAACCCGAGTTGCTACCGCAAAGCCATACACCCTTCTATATTTATTTATTTCGAAGTCGAGACAGCAACCCCCTTAACCCTGGACCTTAAAGCCTGCACCCTACACTAGGCCATGCTTGCCAAGCTGCACGGTAGGAAGCTGCTTGGCAGGACAGCAGCAGCGGCTTGCCAGCTGCCCCAGCTGAGCAGGACACTGAGTCTACAGAGCTTTGTCACTAAACCCCTAAGCTTGAATCCCTAGCCTATATGTCTTGAGTTTGGTGCACATATGAAACCCAACCCTAGCTATAGAGGAGCTTTGTCGCAAAACCCCGAAGCTTGAATCCCTAGCCTATGTCTCGAGTTTGGTGCACATATGAAACCCAACCCTGGCTATAGAGGAGCTTTGTCGCAAAACACCTAAGCTTGAATCCTTAGCCTATGTCTCGAGTTTGGTGCACATATGAAACCCAACCCTAGCTATAGAGGAGCTTTGTTGCAAAACCCCTAAGATTCAATCCCTAGCCTATGTCTTGAGTTTGGTGCACATATGAAACCCAACCCTAGCTATAGAGGAGCTTTGCTG